GGGGGGGGTTAGAAATGTGACGTCACATCAAAATGCGCAACTTTAAATATAGACAACACGTTTAAAGCGATTTTAAAGCATTTGGGGGGGGGCAGCTTTGTGACGTCATATTTGAGGGGGGTCTGACTTTTTGTGACGCCGTGTGACGATGGGGGGGGGGGGGGTCAAAAATCGTCAAAAATCGCGTGACGTCATTTATGGACGGCCCCTCATAACAACGAGCGGAGCGTCGGGCGGATAAAATACAGCAAGTTGGCACAGTCGTAGGGGGTACAGCTGGTGATGCGTCTACCGGTCATCTCAGTCAGCCAACCCATGGCACCTGCTGGGTCTGTCCCGAGACCTCCTCCTGTCAGCGAGCCTTCGACACTTCACGTGGCCCCAAAGTGCACCTAGCCTGGCACAAGCGCCGCGGTATTGGGCCTCCCCTAGATCGATTCAGCCTCAAATGAGTACCCTGGTGCGATGTGTAAACATCGCCACCGGAGAGACAAGGTGTTTGGTGTGGGGAGCGGTGGCGCAGTGGTTAGCGCGATGCGGTACGCACCCGGTAGCTAGGAGATGTTCACTCCCTCGCCTGGTATACAGGAGGTCGTGGTTTCGATCTCGACCCTGACGCCTTTTGTGTTGTGGCCGAAACGTCGTGAGAATTTTATTGTTTTATTTTATTCTCATTCTACGTGACTTTACCGAAAGAACCAAAGAAGACCTCCACCTTGCACTGATTTAACTAAGAACTACGGTTGAAGGGGTGATTGTTTACCCTGCCACAATCCCAAATCCGCCGGGGCGCATTCCAGTACATGTCGTGGGTTCAAAAACAGAGAGGAAACGTATCTAAAGCAACACGGGTTTATTTTAATAATTAACAGTTAACACAGAGGGGTAAGGGCCCTCACACCCGATACACGATGGAGCGTGTGCCCTCCAGTCTAATACGCCTCTTACTGGCTGGAATCTTCACTGGTAATAAGCTGGAGCCGACCCTTGCCAGGGGAATAGCTCTGCCCTTAGGGCTCTTCAATCTTCACTGGTATAGCTTTTAGAGCCGACTCTCGCCAGGGGTACGGCTCTGCCCTTGGGCTCTTCAATCTTCACTGGTATAGCTTTTAGAGCCGACTCTCGCCAGGGGTACGGTTCTGCCCTTAGGGCTCTTCAATCTTCACTGGTATAGCTTTTAGAGCCGACTCTCGCCAGGGGTACGGTTCTGCCCTTAGGGCTCTTCAATCTTCACTGGTATAGCTTTTAGAGCCGACCCTCGCCAGGGGTACGGCTCTGCCCTTGGGCTCTTCAATCTTCACTGGTATAGCTTTTAGAGCCGACCCTCGCCAGGGGTACGGCTCTGCCCTTAGGGCTCTTCAATCTTCACTGGTATAGCTTTTAGAGCCGACCCTCGCCAGGGGTACGGCTCTGCCCTTAGGGCTCTTCAATCTTCACTGGTATAGCTTTTAGAGCCGACTCTCGCCAGGGGTACGGCTCTGCCCTTAGGGCTCTTCAATCTTCACTGGTATAGCTTTTAGAGCCGGCTCTCGCTAGGGGTACGGCTCTGCCCTTAGGGCTCTTCAATCTTCACTGGTATAGCTTTTAGAGCCGGCTCTCGCTAGGGGTACGGCTCTGCCCTTAGGGCTCTTCAATCTTCACTGGTATAGCTTTTAGAGCCGACTCTCGCCAGGGGTACGGCTCTGCCCTTGGGCTCTTCAGTCTCCAGGAGGCTTCTTGTCTTCAGCTGGCGGACGACTGCCGGGACCGTCCAGAGGTCCGGCTTTTATACAGAGCCCCCATCCTGGGGTCTGCCCCTCTTACATACTGCGCCATAGGGCAACCGTTGGACCCTATGGCGCATCGACTCTCAGCACTGGGGCTCAGCCCCTCTGTTGCCCCCTATTGGCATGAGGCTATTGCATAAGAACGGCGCATCTTGGCCCAATAACACCGTTACACAAACGTTGGAACTCACACACCCGTAACAAAGCACAAACAAAGATCCCTCATATTCTTGGTTCTTTCGGTAAAGTCACGTAGAAGGGAAACAATAAAATAAGAAAAATATAAAACAATAAAATTATCACGACGTTTCGACTGCAACACAAGCAGTCATCATCAGGTGTGAAAACCACAACAAAACATTTTTATTCAAATTTTCTTATGGTTTTCACACCTGATGATGACTGCTTGTGTTGCAGTCGAAACGTCGTGAGAATTTTATTTTTTATATTTTTATTATTTTATTGTTTCCCTTCTACGTGACTTTACCGAAAGAACCAAGAATATGAATCCCTGCAGTCACGAAAGCTTTAAATCAAAATTTAAAGATCCCTCAATTTTCTACAGAACCTTTTTTTTTTTGCCAGTGCAGTATCAAAAATGTTAAAACCAGATGCCCTGCAAGAGGTGATCTATTTGGCGTTTGAACATCTGAACGCGCACGTGTTACTACTGCCAGTAAGCCCAATAGTCGCCCATGTAGCCCGCCCGGAGGCTGTTGGGTGCAAGTAAAGTCGCGTTCGGGGGCAACAATGAAGGCCGCCTACACGGCCTTCTTTGTCTCCCCACCAGTACTGATATTTACACACCGCACCAGGTACTTATTTTGAGGCTGAGTCGACCTTGCGGACGCCCAGGACCGGTTCAAAAGTCACGTGACTTTACCGAAAGAACCAACGAGTACCTCTGGATGGTTCCCGAATATTCCCCGTAGCGCCGTCCGTTACCTTTGGCCAAGATGGAATCCCTGCTCCAGATTGGATACCGGTTACCCAGCGGTGGCCATGCAGATGTCCCCTGTAACCCCCCCAGGTGGTGCTCTCTCATTAAACTTCTGCTGCAGCTATCTGTGATCCAAATTGAATGATTTGCAGGCAAATTGTTCAGCATTGGGGATTTTGGCCAATACCGGCTACATTGTGTGTGTGTTTAGCTATGCGAGGAAACCAAAGACACTCATGCAAAACAGGGGGGAGACATACAAACTCCACAAAGAAAAAGATCCCCATGTATAGCCCTAACAGACTGTTGGGGCAAGTCCTGTTTGGCGGGCACCTATGAAGGCCGACATGGCACAGGAGGGAGTGGGTGGCCAGCAACGCGCCCGGCCGCCTTTGTTTCCCTAGTGGCGATGTTTACAGATCACACCAGATTCTCATTTTAGGCTGAGTCCACCTAGAGGAGCCCCATGACCGGTTCAGATAATATAATCATTACTGGTGTTGGCCGTGAGTGAGAATCGAACTCGGGTCGCTGGGTTCGTAGCGCAACATGCTAACCGGCGACACTACCACTCCCCACAAACTCCTCTCACGCTCACACCCTCACTCGTGCTCACTCTCTGACTCCCACTCGACAGATCAGGGCAAGGACATACAAACTGCCCACGGAAATACGCCCGAGTCAGCAATTGAGCCCACGAACGTTTTGCTGTGGGGCACAAATGTTCCCACTATGCCGCCCTGCCACCCTATTTAGCTTCACCTCCAGTTGTTGTTGACTGTTCGAGCAGATAGTCGTTTGTGACCACGCGAGATGGCATCTCTAAGATAGCAACTCGCTATCTGATACTCAACGCGGTTTCCGGCCTGGTTTTTCTTCGCGATAGGCAGCATTTGAGGGCTTGTGCAAGACTCTACATACCGCCAATGGCATTGACAATTCTGCTGCGTGCGATGCAACAGCTGTTGACTTCGAGAAGGCATTTGAGGTGGTGCCTACCCCTCGATTTGCTCAATGTTTAAAATGGCTGAATGTGGGAGTCTTATTTTTATTTTTTCACCTACGTGATTTTACCGAAAGAACCAAAGAGTATGGATCCTTGCAGTCACGAAAACTTCAAATCTAGAATGTGGGAGTTTTACACAAAAAGGGTGATTTTTTTTGGAGCAAATTATATTATTTTTGAGCAATAGGGCTCAGGCAGGTCAGAGTGGTGACATCTAGGGTCCAATATTATCGGAGGTGTTGCTCATCTCCTTTGATGGCCTGTCCCGTGCCTGAGCTTTTTACTTCGTCAGGTATGGACAAGCAACACCCGTGGCAGACGCAGCAAGAGGAGGCTTTCATTCAGCAATGGGTTGGCAAAGGGCTGTGCATTCCTATTCAAAATGACGACGTTAATATTATGACGTCTGCTACGTTATCTATTATCATGTTGAAAGTGCCAACAATTGAATCCCTTCTACTCTCCTCTGTGAACCAGGGGTCACTTGAAGGTAGCTCTGAGCTGCCCGCGTACGCGTGCCGTTCTCCAACACGCACGCAGGGTCGCACTGCTCAGCGAGATTTCCACCTCTTGAAGATGTGTCGTGACGCCGATTGCGAAACTCGGAACTGGAGGGGTAGAATATTTAGAAAAGAACAATTAACCGGCTCCTGCTGCCACGACCACCACTCTCATCGTGCGATAAACGAGCCCAGTAAAATCAGCAACTATACTGTCCCATAAAACAAACCGGTTTCCAGTGTCTCATTACAAGCCTGGGGGACTGGGGCGAGTCCCCAATCCCATTGTGGAATTATCATTCCGGAGAGGGATGCGCAGGGAGTGAAGGATGCGGGATGGAGGAAGGGAAAGAGGGATGTGTTCTCGGAGGGAGTGGGGGGGGGGGGGCATTGGCGTACGTAGCTGTGGAGTGTGCAGGCGGTGTAACTGCACTGGGCCCAAAGGGCAGAGGGGCTCAGGCGACGGTCTGTGAAGAGAGTTGGGGGAGTGTGTGGATTGGACAGAGGAGGGGGGGGGGCGGTGTGGGGAGGAGGAGTGGGGGGGTAGGCTGGAGTAGGGGGGGGGATTTTTTCATTCCTTGCACCGCACCAGCGCCCATTCCAACCACGTTCGGCCACTGGGGGAAGGAATGGCCGGATTGAAGGAGTGATCAACGGATGGATTGAACGTGGGAGGAAAGGAGGTATTTGAGAGATTGACAGAGGGATTGAAGGAGGAATTGGGGAGGAATTAAACGGAGGGACTGAAGGATTGAGGGGGGGGGGGGAAAGGAGGGGCTGGTTGGAACGGGCGCTCATTACAGAGTTGTAGCCTCAGGGACATAGGGACCCAACCCCATTCCACATTCCTATTCACGCTCCTCCTCTTCCTACTGCTCTCCAACTCTTCAAAGTCCGTTTGCGCTGCCGTGCTGTGCTCTCGCCCTGCCAGGTTCTCTACCGCTTTCTTCTCTCCCCCTCTCCCAGCTGCGCGTGTGAGAATCAGCGCTGTTTGCAATGCAGGCGAACTCAACACGCGGCTCGGCACAAGATCCCGAGCCGCACCTGGGCCAAGACTGGGGGTCCCTCCGGGCGCAGTGCCAGAAAGAGAGAACCCTCTTCTGTGACCCCCTCTTCCCCGCGGAGCCCAAAGCCCTGGGACCCCCGGCAGAGACCACCGCGGCTTCGGAAAAGGCGCTTCCTCTCGAGTGGCTGCGGCCCCGGGTGAGTGGTAGAGGTCGGGGTTTGTGGGTTTGATTCCAGACCCGGGCGGAGTCGGTGGATGAAGTTCGTGGTGGTGTGCGTGTGAATTTGGGGTGCGTCTGTGGTGTGTGTCACGCGTGCCTTGCCGGCCTTCATAGGTGCTCGCTGACAGCACTTGCCCCTACAGCTTGTTGGAAGTCTATACGGTGGGGAGGGGGGGGAATCTTTGTTTTGTGGTGTGTGCGTGTGGGGTGTGAGTGATTGGTTGTGAGTGGTGCGCGTTTCATGTGGCGGTACGTGGGTGTGACTGTGTGTGTGATGCCAGTGTGTGGTGTGAGAGGGGTGTGTGTGTGGGGGGTGTGAGAGGTGTGTGTGTGTGGTGTGAGAGGGGTGTGTGTGGGGTGTGAGAGAGGGGTGTGTGTGTGGGGTGTGAGAGGGGTGTGTGTGTGGGGTGTGAGAGAGGGGTGTGTGTGTGGGGTGTGAGAGGGGTGTGTGTGTGTGGGGTGTGAGAGAGGGGTGTGTGTGCGGTGTGAGAGAGGGGTGTGTGTGTGGTGTGAGAGGGGTGTGTGTGGGGGTGTGAGAGGTGTGTGTGTGTGGGGTGTGAGAGGGGTGTGTGTGTGGGGGGTGTGAGAGAGGGGTGTGTGTGGGGGTGTGAGAGGGGTGTGTGTGTGTGGGGTGTGAGAGAGGGGTGTGTGTGTGGGGTGTGAGAGAGGGGTGTGTGTGTGGGGTGTGAGAGAGGGGTGTGAGAGGGGTGTATGTGTGGGGTGTAAGAGAGAGGGCGGTGTGTGTGGGGTGTGAGAGAGAGGTGTGTGTGTGTGTGGGGTGTGAGAGGTGTGTGTGTGGGGGGTGTGAGAGAGAGGGCGGTGTGTGTGGGGTGTGAGAGAGAGGGGTGTGTGTGTGTGTGGGGTGTGAGAAGGGTGTGTGTGTGTGGTGTGAGAGAGGTGTGTGTGGTGTGAGAGGGGTGTCTGTGTGGGGTGTGAGAGAGAGGGGTGCGTGTGTGGGGTGTGAGAGAGAGGGGTGTGTGTGTGTGGTGTGAGAGGGGTGTGTGTGTGTGTGGTGTGAGAGGGTGTGTGTGTGTGTGGTGTGAGAGGGGTGTGTGTGTGGGGTGTGAGAGAGGGATGTGTGTGGGGGTGTGAGAGGGGTGTGTGTGTGTGGGGTGTGAGAGAGGTGTGTGTGTGTGTGTGTGATTACCGCTCACGGCTAACATCAGTGGCGTATTACTGATCCGGTCCTCGGGGCTCCCCTAGGACCACTCAGCCTTAAACGAGGAGTTCCTGGTGCAGTGTGTACACGTCAGCACTGGGGAGACAAAGACGTCTGAGTTGGCCAAACCGCACCCTCGTGCGCCGTTGCCGACCTTAATAGGTGCTCGCGAACAGAATGTGCCCATGTAGCCTACACGAGATGAACTGTGAATTTGACAGTAAGAGGGCGTTTGTGTTTCGTGCGTGAGGGTGTGGTGTGCGCGTGGCGTGGCAGTGGGAGGGCGGGTGTACGATGCGAGTTACATGGGGGTTCAAAAGCGACGTAGTCGTGTGTGTGTGTGGGATGGTTTTTGCGAGACGTGATTGGTAAGTAGTGAATGGTGAGTGTTTGGTGAGTGTTTGGTGAGGGAGTATGTTAGTGCAATATATTTGAGTTCCATAATTGTCAACCCAGACGGTTTACCCCGATTTCTTGCACAGCGATATTGAGTTTTGAGGTCCATACGGCGTACAGCCGTTTCGATGCGGGCAAATAAAAAAAGTGCGTCTATTTGATTTTGACTTAAAACTTTTGCGAATGCAGAAATTAATATTCTTTGGTTCTTTCTGTAAAGTCACGTAGATAGAAAAAAATAACAAATAACAAAAGTAAATTGGATAAAATAATTAGAAATAAAATTACACTAATGTAGACTATAGCCTGGCTCTTAATAGGAGTGAGTGTACTGGTTTTATTTTTATTCACTTTATTTTCATTCTAATTTTTCTATCTACGTGACTTTCCCGAAAGAACCAAAGAATATGTGTCTATTTGTTTGTGTTTCTCCCTTGTGATGAGACTTTGTAGGATGAACATTGAGATTTATAAGGGGCACGGGGTGACCAATAAGGTCTGAATTGCTTTGTAATGAGGTAGGGCACTGATCAGGGGTTGTCAGCTATGGAGTTCTCATGCAGCAATGTTGCTTTTGCGCCGATTTCTCTTGCCCTAATTCCTGTACCATGTCGTACTGTGTTCGCGTCAGTTTGGTGACCCCTTGCAAATGCGACTCATCCCGGTCTCTTGCGTTCTCACTGCTGGTTAAACAAGAAAACAACCCCGAGTGGCGATGTTTACCGTCGTGAGCGGTGGGAGGCGAGTGTTGTCTTTGTTGTTGCTCTGTGGAGTTGTACTGTTTATTTTTTGAAACTAAATCCGTCTCGATTGAGTCACGCAGAGCAATTATCAGACACTTGAAGCATACGTGGCTGGGTGCGTGTGTGCGCTGCAGAGTTTATTTATGGTCACGTGTAGGTGTGCGTAGACACACGTGGTCTGTGTCTTCTTAGTATGAGGGATGTGTTTCCGAATTCCACACAAAAAAAACAGAAAACAGACCAATCCCTATCCACACACGCGCGCGCGCATCTGCCTCGAGTTTACGAAAATCGAAAACATCCTCGTAAACCCGTCCTGATATCCGGACCCCGAATACTGACCCCGACTACAATACTGGCCCCCTAATACTGGGCTCCAAATACTGACACCTACTGCAGACCCCCCAATACCGACGCTGAGTACAAACCATTAAAACCAACCCCCAATGAAGACCCCTGATACGGACCCCCTCCACCCCACCCCCTTCCCGCAATGCAGATCCGTTTACAAATCACACGTTTACGCCGAGCTGGGATTCTGCTGCTGTCACATCTGGATAGAATTCACAGTAAAAAGCAGCGGTCAGAGTGATTGACGAGCCAGCACTGACGGTTCTACCCCGGGTCAAAACAACCTCGATTCTGGATCATATTGGTCGCGAGAGCCGACGTGTAAAACAACTTACTCCAGTCACTGGCTCAAGTGTTGCCACTTGCGCCACCCTGCCGCCACATTGTAGCCAAGACCACATTCACTCACTCACTCACCCCCCCAAGCCATCGTTCACGTCCTACGCTTACCCCACTCGCCCCTACTCTCTCTCTCTCCCCCGTAGGAAATTTGCCCAAAGCCGTTCTTCCTTCTGGAAGGAGCTTCAACAACAGACATATGTCAGGGAGATCTCGGTGAGAGGAGCTCACCACCCGCCGCTCACTACCGGCTCATCATGCACCCCTCACCACCTCTCATATATCACGTACGCTCACCGCCTCACCATTACTCACCCATTCATCATCACGACCTCCTCACCTAAATACCCAACCCCTTCCTCCCCATTTAACTCTCACCACCTCACCAACCTCCTCACCTTGAAGCACCCACCACTCTTCTCACAGTGACCCTCACCGGTCAATCTCCCAGTAACCCTCACCTGTCCTTCTCCAAGTGACCCTCACCTGTCCTTCTCCCAGTGACCCTCACCTGTCCTTCTCCCAGTGACCCTCACCTGTCCTTCTCCCAGTGACCCTCACCTGTCCTTCTCACAGTGACCTTCACCTGTCCTTCTCCCAGTGACCCTCACCTGTCCTTCTCCCAGTGACCCTCACCGGTCAATCTCCCAGTAACCCTCACCTGTCCTTCTCACAGTGACCTTCACCTGTCCTTCTCCCAGTGACCCTCACCTGTCCTTCTCACAGTGACCCTCACCTGTCCTTCTCCCAGTGACCCTCACCGGTCAATCTCCCAGTAACCCTCACCTGTCCTTCTCCCAGTGACCCTCACCTGTCCTTCTCCCAGTGACCCTCACCGGTCAATCTCCCAGTAACCCTCACCTGTCCTTCTCCCAGTGACCTTCACCTGTCCTTCTCCCAGTGACCCTCACCTGTCCTTCTCCCAGTGACCCTCACCTGTCAATCTCCCAGTGACTCTAACTTCTCCCTCACCCCGCACCTTCACCACTCCCCCAGTACCCTTCACCACCTTCATACCCCCTCAGCCAAAACCCTCACCACCTCCCTGCCAGGTAACCCTCACCACCTACCCTCCTCTCTCGCTTCACCACCGGTTCTCCTCACCGAACCTTGCACCCCTCACCTCACTACTTAACTTCCCCTTACCTACCCCCCGTCTCCCCGCATCCCTCTTCACCTCACCTCGTTCCCTCACCCCCCAACGACCCCCACCCCGTCCCGTTCCCCATACCCCTTCACCCCACCCGGTTCCCTCACTCCCCCCGGCCCCGTCTCCACCATACCCCTCACCCACCTCACTTCCCCTCACCACCTCCACCCCAACCCTCCCCCCGCAGGGGACTGCTGGCTCCTGGCCGCCATGTCGTCCCTCACGCTGGAGCCTGCCCTCTTCGAGCAGGTGGTGCCCACGGGACAGGACTTCGGCACGGGCTACTGCGGCATCTTCCGCTTCAGGGTGAGCGGCTTTGCCATCCCGGGGCACCGGCACGCGAACAATTGGAGGACACAGCCCACGCCGCGTGAGGCCGTGGTAGTGTCGCCCCGGTCGGCGATCGGTGCAGAGCTCTCGATGAACAAAGCAATTTGCTTGGAAGGGACTTCCAGACTGGTGTTGCGCCGGCTTACTTTCGGGGGTTCGTTCACCGGTAACGAGAGCGACGACAGAGTAGGCAGCACGGCTTGTTGCAAGGGGGACTCATGTACAGCAACTCAATCACTGCTCTCTCTCTCTCTCACGTAACGTTCGCGATGCACAATCATTGCCACGTGCAATTCCAGCACGATCTCTGCCGCCAGCACCAACACCTGCACTGAGTCCACGTGGTCCTCCCACCCTGGCCCTTCCCTCCAGCCAAGCTCGGCCCTCTCTCTCTCTCTCCCAACACACAATTACCGTCGCCGAGAAAGACGTCCTCGGATCTTCCGGTGACCCGAACGCCTCGAGAGGCACACCGCGTGCATTCTAAGCCAATCAGAGCCGAGCATCGTGTCACGCTCAGCACTGCCCCTATGGGTCATTGAGTAAACCACCAGAGTCACTGCGCTCCTTCAACGAGGAGGAGGAGGAACACCAAACACGACACGGACTCTCTGCTGAAGCCCTCTCGTCGTGGCCAGCAGACCTCGACGTTGCCGTTTAGCTCATGAACGTGTCCACGCCGTATGCAAGAATAAAATTGATTACCGATAATTATCAATTTGATTAAATGGGTGGGGAGGGTGGTGGCGTAGTGGTAATGCTTGTGCCTCATATCAAGATAAACCTTGGTTCGATCCCTCCCCGACTCGGGCGCATTTCTGTGTGTACCCCCCCGCCCCCGTGCCTCCCGTGTCCCCCTGTGCCCCCCCCCCCCCAGTTCTGGCAGTATGGTCGCTGGCTGGAGGTGGTGGTGGATGATCGCCTCCCGTCGCGGGGCAAGCGCCTCGTGTACACGCGCTCCAGCACACGCAGCGAGTTCTGGAGCGCACTGCTGGAGAAGGCCTACGCCAAGTGGGTACTCACACAGCTAGTTACACACACACACAGCTAGTTACACACACACACAGCTAGTTACACACACACACACAGCTAGTTACACACACACACAGCTAGTTACACACACACACAGCTAGTTACACACACACACAGCAAGTTACACACACACACAGCTAGTTACACACACACACAGCTAGTTACACACACACACAGCTAGTTACACACACACACAGCTAGTTACACACACACACAGCTAGTTACACACACACACAGCTAGTTACACACACACACAGCTAGTTACACACACACAGCTAGTTACACACACACACAGCTAGTTACACACACACAGCAAGTTACACACACACACAGCTAGTTACACACACACACACACACAGCAAGTTACACACACACACAGCTAGTTACACACACACACAGCTAGTTACACACACACACAGCTAGTTACACACACACACAGCAAGTTACACACACACACAGCTAGTTACACACACACACAGCTAGTTACACACACACACAGCTAGTTACACACACACACAGCAAGTTACACACACACACAGATAGTTACACACACACACACAGCTAGTTACACACACACACAGCTAGTTACACACACAGCTAGTTACACACACACACAGCTAGTTACACACACACAGCTAGTTACACACACACACACAGCTAGTTACACACACAGCTAGTTACACACACACACAGATAGTTACACACACACACAGCTAGTTACACACACACAGCTAGTTACACACACACACAGCTAGTTACACACACACACACACAGATAGTTACACACACACACAGATAGTTACACACACACACACAGCTAGTTACACACACACACAGCTAGTTACACACAGCTAGTTACACACACACAGCTAGTTATACTCACACAGCTAGTTACACACACACACAGCTAGTTACACACACACACAGCAAGTTACACACACACACAGCTAGTTACACACACACACAGCTAGTTACACACACACAGCTAGTTACACACACACACAGCTAGTTACACACACACACACAGCTAGTTACAAACACACACAGCTAGTTACACACACATACAGCTAGTTACACACACACACACAGCTAGTTACACACACACAGCTAGTTACACACACACACAGCTAGTTACACACACACACAGCTAGTTACACACACATAGCTAGTTACACACACACACAGCAAGTTACACACACACACAGCTAGTCACACACACACAGCTAGTTATACACACACACAGCAAGCTACACACACACACACAGCAAGTTACACACACACACAGCTAGTTACACACACACACAGCAAGTCACACACACACAGCAAGTCACACACACAGCTAGTTACACACACACACAGCTAGTTACACACACACACAGCTAGTTACACACACACAGCTAGTTATACACACACACAGATAGTTACACACACACAGCTAGTTACACACACACAGCTAGTTACACACACAGATAGTTACACACACACACAGCTAGTTACACACACACACAGCAAGTTACACACACACACAGCAAGTTACACACACACAGCTAGCTACACACACACAGACAGCAAGTTACACACACACACAGCTAGTTATACACACAGCTAGTTGCACACACACACACACAGCTAGTTACACACACACACAGCTAGTTACACACACACACACAGCTAGTTACACACACACACAGCTAGTTACACACACACACAGCAAGTTACACACACACAGCTAGTTACACACACACACAGCTAGTTACACACACACACAGCTAGTTACAAACACACACAGCTAGTTACACACACATACAGCTAGTTACACACACACACAGCTAGTTACACACACACAGCTAGTTACACACACACACAGCTAGTTACACACACACACAGCTAGTTACACACACACAGCTAGTTACACACACACACAGCAAGTTACACACACACACAGCTAGTCACACACACACAGCTAGTTATACACACACACAGCAAGCTACACACACACACACAGCAAGTTACACACACACACAGCTAGTTACACACACACAGCAAGTCACACACACACACACAGCAAGTCACACACACAGCTAGTTACACACACACACAGCTAGTTACACACACACAGCGAGTTATACACACACACAGATAGTTACACACACACAGCTAGTTACACACACACAGCTAGTTACACACACAGATAGTTACACACACACACACAGCTAGTTACACACACACACAGCAAGTTACACACACACAGCAAGTTACACACACACACAGCTAGCTACACACACACACACAGCAAGTTACACACACACACAGCTAGTTATACACACACAGCTAGTTACACACACACACACAGCTAGTTACACACACACACAGCTAGTTACACACACACACACAGCTAGTTACACACACACACAGCTAGTTACACACACACACAGCAAGTTACACACACACAGCTAGTTACACACACACACAGCTAGTTATACACACACAGCTAGTTACACACACACACAGCTAGTTACACACACACTCACACAGCTAGTTACACACACACAGCTAGTTATACACACACACACACAGCTAGTTACACACACACACAGCTAGTTACACACACACACAGCTAGTTATACACACACACACAGCTAGTTATACACACACACAGCTAGTTACACACACACACAGCAAGTTACACACACACACAGCTAGGTACACACACACACAGCTAGTTACACACACACAGGTAGTTATATACACACACAGCTAGTTACACACACACACAGCAAGTTACACACACACACAGCTAGTTACACACACACACAGCAAGTTACACACACACACAGCAAGTTACACACACACACAGCAAGTTACACACACAGATAGTTATACACACACAGCTAGTTACACACACACACAGCTAGTTACAAACACACACACACGGCAAGTTACACACACACACAGCAAGTTACACACACACACACAGCTAGTTACACACACATAGCTAGTTACACACACACACAGCTAGTTACACACACACACAGCAAGTTACATACACACACAGCTAGTTATATACACACACACAGCAAGTTACACACACACACAGATAGTTATACACACACACAGCTAGTTATACACACACACAGCTAGTTACACACACACACACAGATAGTTATACACACACAGCAAGTTGCACACACACAGCTAGTTATACACACACAGCTAGTTATACACACACACAGCTAGTTACACACACACACAGCTAGTTACACACACAGCTAGTTATACACACACAGCTAGTTACACACACACACAGCTAGTTACACACACACACAGCTAGTTACACACACACACAGCTAGTTACACACACACACACACAGCTAGTTACACACACACACAGCAAGTTACACACATACACACAGCTAGTTATACACACACACAGCTAGTTACACACACACACACAGCTAGTTACACACACACAGCTAGTTACACACACACAGCTAGTTACACACACACAACTAGTTATAGACACACAGCTAGTTACACACACAGCTAGTTACACACACACAAAGCAAGTTACACACACACACAGATAGTTATACACACACACAGCTAGTTATACACACACACAGCTAGTTACACACACAGCAAGTTACACACACACAGCTAGTTATACACACACACACAGCTAGTTACACACACACACAGCTAGTTAAACACACACACAGCTAGTTACACACACACTCACACAGCTAGCTACACACACAGCTAGTTGCACACACACACACAGCTAGTTACACACACACACAGCTAGTTATACACACACAGCTAGTTACACACACACACAGCAAGTTACACACACACACAGATAGTTATACACACACACACAGCTAGTTATACACACACACAGCTAGTTTCACACACAGCAAGTTACACACACACAGCTAGTTATACACACACACAGCTAGTTACACACACACACAGCTAGTTACACACACACACAGCTAGTTACACACTCACACAGATAGCTACACACACAGCTAGTTGCACACACACACACAGCTAGTTACACACACACACAGCTAGTTACACACACACAGCTAGTTACACACACACAGCAAGTTACACACACACAGCTAGTTACACACACACACAGCTAGTTACACACACACACAGCTAGTTACACACACACACAGATAGTTACACACACACACAGCAAGTTACACACACACACAGATAGTTATACACACACACACAGCTAGTTACACACACACACAGCAAGTTACACACATACACACAGCTAGTTATACACACACACACAGCTAGTTATACACACACACAGCAAGTCATCCTCACACAGCTAGTTACACACACACACAGCTAGTTACACACACACACAGCTAGTTACACACACACAGCTAGTTACACACACACACAGCTAGTTACACACACACACACAGCTAGTTATATACACACACACACAGCAAGTTATACTCACACTGCTAGTTACACACACACACAGCTAGTTACACACACACAGCTAGTTACACACACACACAGCTAGTTACACACACACAGCTAGTTACACACACAACTAGTTATATACACACACAGCTAGTTACACACACAGCTAGTTGCACACACACACACAGCTAGTTACACACACACAGCTAGTTACACACACACTCACACAGCTAGCTACACACACACACACACACACAGCTAGTTACACACACACAGCTAGTTACACACACACACAGCTAGTTACACACACACACACAGCTAGTTACACACACAGCTAGTTATACACACACACAGCTAGTTATACACACACAGCTAGTTACACACACACACAGCTAGTTATACACACACACAGCTAGTTATACACACACAGCTAGTTACACACACACACACAGCAAGTTACACACACACACAGCTAGTTACACACACACAGCTAGTTACACACACACAGCTAGTTATACACACAC